GATTTCACTTTTTTAGGGTTCAAAATGGCACTTTTGCTTGAAAAATTGATAAATCAGTTTTCACTTATTAATATTAAATTAATAATTTTAAGGATTTAAATTTTCCATCATAAAATATTCATTTTCAGCAACATTGATTTTATTAAATTTGCTTGAAAGATGATCAGTTTGAAATTTATTTTTAATGAAAAGCATATAAATGATGTAGAAAGGTGACATTTTTACCTCATATTAGTGGATACCTGTCTTTTCTGTAGGTGTTTTTTAATCTTACACACCTCAGAAATTGGGGATAACTGATTAAAAACCTCAAAATGAGTCTCTTGTCGCGGGGGATCTATTTCATATATTTATAACATCTTTTGTTTTGAATTTCTTTTTTAATCTGACCTCAAATCACCACTTAAAATGTAATCCCCCTTTTTGTGGACATATGAGGGTGGAAAACTTAGGTTTGATAAAGGTGAAAACAATCCATATATATTTAACAAAAGTAATTTTTGACTATGATTAATTTTTTCCTTATCAGTGTTTTGATTTTGGGGGATTGTCCTTTCTGCTTTTATTATAGATACATGTATCTCCACCCCTTGACACATAGTCACTAAGGGGTGAGATATCGGAAGTGGTCTTCCGCAGGTAAAATTTCATCTAAAGATGAAAGCTTTTATGTCTAAGAATAACAGTGTGCTATTTTTTTAACAACACAGGTAATTGTGCAGAAAAATACAGGTGACTCATGACTCTAAAGTGTGCGACAATTATCATATAGAAAGCCCAAGATTAGCATACAGTTGTTAAGCTGTTCACCCTATACTAGGCCATATTATGCACCAATTCACTAAATACTTGTGTAATTAGGTAGCCTTGATTTAGCTAATTTTGCATATTCTTTGTGCTTTATTGCATATAATGCATTAATTATTAGTACTGTGGTGCACACTTTGTATGCATTCTGTAAGAAATTCAGTACACAAGAAAATTATTTATCATACTTGTATAGCTGCATGATTATAATTTATAATCCAGAGATAATGAATTAAAAACTTACAATTTTTCCAATTAGTAAAAAGATTTTTTTAGTAATTAAGCAAAACTATCTATTAAAAATCATTGTATGTTAAAAAGAATCAGTGTAAGGTATAAACCAAATACATGTATCTATAAAAGCATTTGATTTTACTTCTCCGTGTGAAAATCTACACTATTTAAAAAACTTTATTATAATTTACTTGTATTCAGGGGTACCTCAGAATGTTTTTTAAGTATGGGAATTTTTATCTAAAGTAAATATACTTTTATGATTTTTAACTTCTTTCAAATAATTGATGAAAGTTAAATAAATAAGTAAATGTTTAAATGGTTTTTATAGAGTACAGAATCTCACAAATTATAAAGAGACTCAAGATAAAAAAAAGAAAAAAACTATCTTTAAATAAATATTGGCTTGTCTGTCACAAAACATTGAGAAAATTAAATATTTGTGGTAAAACACAATAAAGTGTGTATTTTTAGCGGGATTTTTGTATGAGCCCCCCTTCTCGTTCCGTCAAGCCTTGAAGTGTCCTTGAGCTAAAAATTTGACACGAAATTTATGACGATATATTCCTTTTAAAAATTATCAAATGTTCTATCACCCAGGTGCAGATAAATTTAGAAAGGACCTACATTAGAATTTTTGTGTGTATTATTATTATGCTTTGGATTGATTCTTCATTTTAAGGAACAGAAGATTTTAAACCCACGGACGACTGTAAGTGATCGGAGAAATCAAGCATACATTACCCTCGCTCACATAGGGACTCCAGAAAAAGGTACTTTTTGATTATTTTAATTAATTTACTTTTTTTCAATTTTTTTTAAAAATTATTCATAATTTTTTTTTTCCTGCAATTTTTTTTATGCACCAGCACTTTCAATTTTTCTTTCCTTTTTTTTTTTTTAATCTAATTAATAGTTAAAAAAAATAAATTATGAGAGAAATACAGATTTGACAATTAAATAAAAAAGAATTTCTGTTTCTTAATTGTTTTAATATTTACTACTAATAATGGAGAAACAACTTTCACATTCTAAGAAGGAAGTAATATTCAGTTTGTATGTGACAATGTACATTCATTTTCACACTATAAAAATCAGCCTTGGGGTACATTGGATTTGAACATTAAGAAATGTCATTTAGAAGTCTTATTACATAAAAAGTTTGATAGTTGACATCATTAGTGGTAATCCAACATTTATATGTATGTCATCTCAAATGAAGAATCAAATTTATTTGTAATATTGTCTAATATATATGTAAAGTCAGATATCAAATTAAAAATAAAATATTTGCATTAAAGTCCTTCATAACAGAATACATAGCTGACAGTATATTTTGGAAGATATACAAGTAAAAATTCCTTGATTTTTCAAAAAGAGCATTCATTTTGTCAAGGTACTGTATTGTAAAATTACATTCAATATTTGCAATTTCAGTTCAGTAATTAAATTTTGTTGTTTGAGTGCATGGTGCATCCGTTCCCTTATCAAAGTGCTACAAGTGATAGGAATCTCTTTGCTTTCTAATATTCCTCATAAAAATCATTTCATCTGATATTGCACTTTATCTAATAACATTTCATGTTTCTGGATATTGAATGATTGTGAGAGTGATACAGGCGCGAAGAAAAATCAAATTACCAGCGGTCTAAAATGTTTGTCCAGACTGTGTGAAGTATTGAGTGGTATAATATTTATAGCAGGAACACTCCAGTGAAAGTGTGGGGGGAACCAATGTGTTATTGAGTGGGCATTTCCAGTCATATAGACAGCCAAAACAAAGATACACAAACTCCGCCAAAATAAACAGTTACTGTTGTCGTAATCTCCTTGTCGGTTCCTTAATTTCCAGAGCCCCAATGTCTGGTTCCTGCATGCAGTTTTATACAATTGGGGAATCGTACAATGGAAATGATTACGTTCATTTTAAAAATCAATTATGAATTGAGTTTTCTTTTAAAAATTATTTTTCACTCATTACTGTGAATTTTTTCTCCCCAAAAACATAGGGGGTGGAGATTAACCCATAGCAAAAAGAAATGGCATTTTTCCATTTTATTTCCATTCATTCAGCATTTTCTTGCCATTTTTCATTTCAAAACCATTTTTCCTACATTTTTCTATCTTTCAATTTTCAAAAACCATTTTTTCAGAACCATTTAAAAACCATTTCTGTTAGAAAATGCTTTTTAAATGGTGAACATGCAGCATTTTCTTTCCATTTATTTGAGTAAATGGAAAAGAAATGTAGTTTGGTGATCCAACTTGCTTGAGTTGACCATTTTTCTCCCATTTGTTTTCTGAGTGGAGAATTGTGTGTGTGATTTGTTGGTGGTTAATTGATGCCATGTGCCAGGTTTTTATAATGGGGCACTGGATATCAGATTTCCTCCCTGAAGCTCTGTAGTGACCGCCTTTTCCAGTAAGTTTGAATATTGGACAAGAGCACTTTGACCTAACTGGTAGTGAGTTTAGATGGCTCATGCATGAATTAAGTTATTCTTCAAGGAGTACAAAGGTTTTTAGTGATTTTCGACGCTGACAAAACTGTACAGTGATGGTCAAAGCAGAAAAAGAAATACTAATTTCTTGGAGGATATTATGTGACAGTTCATGTTTCCAACATTTGGGAAGTTAAGGCAGTGAGAAGAATTGCAGCACATTACCATACTCAGAAAGGACGTTATTATTCTTTTTGAGTGGTAAGTATAAATATGTACATATCTTTATTAATGCCAGTTACAGAAAAATGTTCTTTTTCCAAAGAAAACACATAAGGAATTCCCATTAAACATGCTGATGCAATAATCTATAAACTGATTAATGTTGTTAAAACTGGGTCAGACCGATGGAACTTAGATTTATAATTTGATTTAAAACTTCATTGTAAATTTTTTAAATACATGTAACTATATTTTTGCATTTCCTTTTATTTTTAGAATACTGCTTGCGTATTGGACATGATGGAGCACCAAAATAAACATGGGATTCAAAATATAATTTTTTTAAAGATGGAGATAACTATCACAATCAATTCACTCAAATAAGGATTTTGACAATTAGAAACATTCCAGGATTCAAAACTTGTGATTTATTATGTGGAAAAATTGAGCATTATTTAGTGACCTATATCTTGTGACCAGACTCTACAACTAAGAAAATGGATTTTTGAAGTGCTTATTCTTTGCATATGGATATCAATTAAGGACCCAGCTAAATTTTCCATTTTTCAATTATAGATAAAATGTGTTAAAAATGGATATTAAATGGCTGAAACAAAAACCATTTATTTTTCATTTTTTATCTCATTTGCATAAATGGTTTTTGAATGGTTAATTTGCATGTTACAGGGCCCAAAAAAATGGAGTTTGAATGGTGTTTGAATGGAGTTTGAATGGAGATAAAATGAAAAATGGTTTTTAAATGGTCATCCTTTCTGTTGAGAATTCTTGAGAGATTTGACAAAATAAAATGGCTTTTGAATGGTCTTTAAATGGTCAGAAAAGAAATGGCTTTTAAATGGTATCTAAATGGATTTCATTTTGATAAGGGAAGGTGGGGACATGATGGTGTTGGGGGGGGGGGCTAGATATATACTGTGGAGACATTTTCTGTAAAGAAAAGATAGCTTCTCATTTGAGTTGTTTCTCTTAGATCTTTGTAAGCTCTATGTAATCAAAGCCTCTGTGATGTATTGACGTATTGACCCTGAGACTTACCACGTTACACTAACACTGCTGCCATGTAATAAGGGCGGACTGATTATTGGTTTTGATATTTACCATATCAGCCAAGCACCGTAGTAGAAATATTGATGTTATTATAATGTTTAGGGCTTTTTTACCTTAACTGGTTCTCAGCCACTCAATATTATGCTGCTGATGTTGCTTGAGTCAGTAGGGGAACCAGTTTTTAGAGAGATGAAAAAAAATCAATTTATAGTAAGGGAAGATCATGCTCCATTTTCTCTGTGTGTAGGTTATTGCACATAGGAGTGCATGAGTAATGCTGGAGAGAGAGAGTGAGAGGGGAATATTGGCCTCTGTGCAGATGAATGAGTCCTAAGCTGGCAGACTTTCAGCACGTGCTGGTAAGAAGTTGAGAGTGTAGTAAGACTTTGCTGTGTGTCACGGATAATGGAGCAACATTAAAGAAAGGGATTATATTCCAGTTCATTTTGGGACATGCTGTCAAAAATTTTGCAGATTTTTATTTTTTATTGAATATAATTTCTTCAACAGCTTTGTTTTCCAGAATTTGGTTATGTGTTTCATAGTGTAACCTGAGGCATTGTATGATTTTGTTTTGAAGCAATATTATACTGTCATTTTGGTGTTTAATGAAATTTATAGTGAAAAAAAATTAAAGAGACTCGGAAATATGAAGTCTTGACTAGCACCAGTTGAGCTAACAAGTCTTTTCTTTTACAGGGAAATGTGAGATGATGGTCAAAAGGACTAACAAGTACACCATTGCTTAACAGTATACAGTTTGATACATGGGATTTATATAAAGTCTGGACATCTTTGTGTGTATGAAAGGTTTATCTGAGAGAGGAGGAAACTGTCTCTGAATTGAATGGATTTTTTTAATTCTTCAAATATGTGCAAAACTGTGTGGGAAATTTAAAATTATGCCTGATTTGCTGAGGAGAGGGTTTATCAAACAATTGGATTTATTGGAGAGTGGATACAAAATAAAATTTAACCAATTCTAAAAGCCTGATATGTAAGTAAATTTTTCTTATCACACATATATACATATTATATATATAACAGTATTAGAAAAAAGACGAAATTTAAAAGTATATTTTAAGGAATAATTAAAACATTATTGCTTATTCTCCAACTCAACTTCAAATATGATGTAGTTGACAGCTAGGGAAAATTAAGTCTTTAATGTTTTACTTGCTGCTCAATGGTTGCATGTTCCAATACGCCAGTTTCGAGATTGTAACTCTCCTATGATGGAGGCGCAAAAAGTATCCATTTCGGCAGGGAGGTGGGACAGGTTGTTTCTATATATAAACGTGCATAAATAAATGAACGATATTTATGGCTTTTAAAATTTATTAAATGTTATAAAAAGATAATGATATTATGCAGTGATGCAATTGATGATTTTATCAAGTACAACTATGCATATTTACAAATTTACTTTAAATTATGGGTACTTTAAAACGAAAGAAACGTCGAAGTCTTAATAAAAAGTAACCTATTTTCTTGATCGTACAAACTATTTTTAAAAAGTTTGTGGGTTTTTTGAAGTTATAATAAGGAAAAGAATCACCTAGATCGCCTACGTACAATAATCAGATGCATGTGTATCGTTTTTATTAGAGGTCAAAATTTCTTCCCTCGTCTAAAAAGCCCCACATCCACCGACATTTACTTTTTTGTTACGATTTCTTTGCTTTACAAAATGACGTCTTTAAATTAATTTAGTTATTCTCGAAATGTAGAATGCATCCTGACAATCATGTAGGTATGATAAACCAAATATATCGATGATACAATGTATCCAATATAAAAATATCAAATATTAGTCCCACCTGCTTGTTTACGCGGCAACGAAACTCCCCTCCTCAACGAAAGAGCGCACCAAGGGAGATAATCTCGAAACTTGCGTATTGAAAGATAAAATCATGGGATAATTTTGGATTGATTTTCAAGGCAGTATTTTTTGTGTGTCAGGAGTGTATTTAAGCCAAAGTTCATATTTACAGCAAGGTTGATGCTTTCCTGTTTGGGTTTTTTTTTTTTTTTTTTTGAGAAAAAAAAAATCAATACCCCTTTACAAGATGTGATTTTTTTTCCCATAATGATTAAAAAGGAACTAGTTTATCTGGCACATGGTGGTCTATTGATTTGTCGATTCTTTTAAAGAGAGTCAATAAAAACCGCTAGTTGTTTTTTTAATTCTTTATAATGTTGACAGTTTGTTTAATGCTATCAAGCTTAAACCCAATGTACCGTATATTAGCTTGTTTTGTGCTGCCTTTGCGTGATATTCTGATATCTGATACATGAATACATTTAGTGACATTTAGCAGTGACAATCACTAAATGCTGGCTTACTTTTTTGCCGATTTTGTCGAGATTTATTGATCTGATGCATCCTGTCGTAATTTGTAAAAAGAATATTTAATGAATAACAATTAGGATCTTTGCGTAAAATTATAATAAAACTTCTCAGAGTTGTATAATGAGACTTAGTTTTTTTGTTTAATATATAGAATTATTTTAATTTGTACCAGTGTTTTAAAATTCTGGTGTCTGTTATTATTGTCTTTTTTATAGAATTGTTTCAGTGGATTTTTCGCAGATATCTTGTTTCAGTAGACAGTGGTTCTCAGGTTTTTATGCTGTTAATGGAATATTTCAATAAATATTAAAGCCATATGATGTCTGAAAAAAAATCTTTTTCAAATCAATCAACATGCTAATTTGTTTTCAAATCAATCAACATGCTAATTTGTTGTCTGAAATAATATATATGACTGTTTGACAGAGGCTGCTTTCTCCTCCATGGCACCTGATCCCACCTCTTTAGTCTTTAATAGCGTCTTATTTGCTCTGCTCCTTAGTTGTAATGGTTTACTGGACTTTTGATTGATTTTGAGTTGTTTAAAATATATGTCCCCTTTGAGAATTTTTTACTTATAAAGAGACAAAAGGACTTCTGAACTTGATTACTATTTGTACCCAGTAAGTGTGGTTATATATCTCAATATTTTATGCATGTTATCAGTGAGGTTTTAGAAAAGATTTGAGAGATGTGCTTTACAGATTATGGAAGTTTCTGCTGAGAAGTGCAGCTTATCAGCAGTAGATATAATATTTGAGGACAAATTGTCTGATTTTAGGTTAGCTGCTGCTGTAAAAAAAGAATCAATTTAGAGAAAACAGCTGTGGATATCATTAATCTTAGAGATAAAGATACTCTAAATAACAATCAATTAATTTTAATTTTTTTTCTAGTTTATTTTGAGATTTATTTTCAATTTTTTTGTTTGAGAACTTGATTGAATGCTATTCACATAGTAAAACTTGGATTCTTCAAAAAGAATTGATAAAGCACTAGCTGTCTAGTGGTCAGGAAACCTCTTAGGTTCAGATGTTGGTCTGATCCATCTCATTTTTCTCCCTCCATCTTAAATTTGATGTACCAATGGAAGTGTCAGATGAAAGAGTTTGGAATGACATCTTTAGTGGTAAGGACATTTCCAGGACTGACCAGGAGGGAGGAAACATGGTGGTCAGGCAGTTCAGTTGATTAAAGCAATCTAGAGTTTAAGGGTCCGGGTTTGAATTCTTGTCTGAACTGTAGTATTGGCTCCCTTCTTCATAACAGTTTGGAACCTGTAGGTTTTCTCTTCAAAACACCATGTTGAATGTAGTGTAACGGAGAGAAATCCCTTGGGCTCTGACAATAGGTATCCGTTTTCATATAAGTATATTGAGTAGCATGGGAGGAAATAAGAGATAATTTGTATCCCATTTCCTGGTTGTTTAATTCAATCTCACCTGGCCAGGTGCGTTGATCAGTCTCCTTAATGATGTACCTGTATGCAGACCGGCGTGCTGTGTATTACTGATTGAGGTGTCTTCCTATAATTTGTGTGGATTATGTCAGATGTCAATGTCTGGTCTTCTGTATTGATTAGTGTCAGGGTATTCGGACACAACACAGATGTGTGACTAATTGTTAATCATGTCCTATTGGGTTAGTCATTAATAATACAATATATAGTGAGTATCTACAGCTAGTATTGATATTTTATAGTTATTTATTGATAATTGAGGCCTATAGTGATATATTTTATGGAGGATTTGCAGGTACATCATGTACTTATGTAAATATAGTTCTATGCTATTATTACCAGATATGGTAAATAAATATTGAGGGGGTGGGGGTGGAGGGGCTGAAAAGTTTTTTTTGTTTTGTTTTGACCCATACACATTGATTTGTAGTGTCTTGATATCTCAAAACAGGTATCTGTAACACCATGGTTATATTGAAGTGATTAAAAAGTCCTTACCACATATCTCTGTTAAAGTATTTTACCCTTAATATTTCAAATCCTTGGATATTTCAAAGTTTTTTTTCTCAGTCCTATCGAGTTTAAGATATAAGGTTTGACTTTATAATAGATTCCGCATATAGTGCAGATTTGCTGAATTACACATTCTTCTGAATCATGGTAGATTGCAAAAACAGGTATATCAGGTGGTAGCGCTAGAGCACCTGACAGGAGATTCAGTGGGCCCAGGTTCAAATCCTTGTCTGGTCCATCACATTTTTCTCCTCTGCCATTATGTGCAAGATAGATGCAGCATTTTAGGTCTTCAAGTCACTCAAGCATTCCAGAAGAAGTTTTGGGGTGGAAATCAAAATACCAGCCCCTTACTGCACTCTTTATGGCCAACCACATGGACAAGATGTCTTTAAATCTGGTAAAGTTTGTTAAAAAAAAAATTATATATATATAGAAATGGATATAAACTGTAACAAATTTACCAAAGTTTATTATTCTTTTTCTTGATGAAAAAAGAGTTTTAAAGTTCTTCTAATCAGGAAAAGATGTGCATTCAGCAGAACTGTAAGTTAAACCATTACTGAAAAAAATAGATATTTTTGTGCAGTTGCCTTTTTATGATGGTTAAAAATATCAATGCACTGCATTGCAGCTATATCTTTTTCACACACATGTATTCATTTTGCTTTTACTTTCAAAACAAATTCACCTCAACATCAGCTGTCTTGACAGTTATAATTATTTTCTTCACTCTGAAATTCTCTCACTGTAAATTCTTGCGCTATAGACATGTTAGACAAGATCCCCTGTTATGTCCCTGCTGGGAAAGAAAATAAACTGGTCCTCATATCAAAACAAATTCAGGAGATCAAATTTTTGTTTGTGTTTTGAGCATAGGAAGAAATGGGAAGCAACTCAGGAAACTTAAAACTTTGTCATGGGATTCTGTTTTTGATGTCAGCTTATGTAGGTATCAATGTATTTTGCATTCCATTCATTCAACTTGCATTGTCTTGGAAAGCATTTGCCAAAATTTTTGTTGTATTCATCTTTGAAAAATGGTCACTTAGCTCCATGACTGTATAACTCTCTGGTTAAGAAAATTCAGACAGACAAACCAGGAAGCTACAGATCCAAGCATTGTAAAAACCTTCAATTCACAGCAACACTTTTTTTTGTCGCTCACTTAGGTGTTTCCTCAATTAAAGCATAATTTTCTTGAATTGTTAAAATAGTAATATTTTTTAAATAGAATTGAACATCAAACATTCTGTTTGCATGCTTATGGCTTAATAGAAAACTCAACACATATGAGAAATTCAAAGATATCATGGGAAAGTCAGTCAGTTTGTGGTACTTTGGACATTTTGTGTACTTAATAAATAAATACTTCCCAGTCTGTGTTATGGATAAGTTTGGGAATTCACTCTGAAGACCCGCTGAAAATCTGGAATCTCTAACTGAGATTACTTACAGAGTTTCTGTAAGGATGTTACGTAATCCTGTCAATAATAGATGGAGCTGCAGTGGTAGGGATAATTTTCATTAAAGCTTAGAGAGAGAGAGAGAGGCTGATGAAGAGTATACAAATATAGACTGCACTGTGTGGGTGTTGAAGTTTATGGAGAAAGTACTTTTTGGAAGTTCATGAATGTCAGGAATAGAAAAAACCCCAAAATTTGAGTTCTATTAGTTATTGTTGATTTGTTCGGTGTTTATTGTTATGGATGCCTAATATTTCTTGTGAGATTGTCAGTTTTTGGTGAACCTAAGGAACTATTCATTTATAGTTGTAGGATATACAAGAAAAGGCTATTTTGTTTGTAAGGGATATCAATGATTTTTCCTGAAGACCTTAGAGAAAAGCCATTTGTATTTCTTGCCCATTGATATAGCATAGAAGAGGACCTTATTATTCAACGTTTAAAACAGAGAGTGTGAAATCAGAACTGTTGTACATGTAGAAGAAAACGTAAAGTAATGCGATTGTTATTTTTCTCTGTAGGTTTGAGCAGGACTTTTATTGCAGGCAGAGCTCTGAGGAGGGACGGATGGAGTCAGAGGTAGAGGCTGATAGTGACCATGAAGACGTGGACAATGACCTTGGGCACGGGCACTGGATGGGTTACTCAGATGACCCCAGCAAGGTTGGTTATCTTTATATATGTATCTTATGGTGAAGGTCGATGATTACCTAGGTCAAAGGTTATGAATGTTTATGTGTGTGTTGATGTCAAGGTCAACCATTGGTTGATCATTGCAGAGATCAAAGGTCAAGATGCTTTGTATATGTGTGTTTATGTCAAGGTTGATCATTTTTTAGAAATCAAAGTTCAAGTCATGTATTTCTGTGAACTATTACAGAGGATAAAGGTCAAGGTCAAAGGATTGACCTTTAAGAGATGAAATGGCTGATTTTAGTTACTTGACTTATTACAGAGATGTATCATAATTCAATAACAGTTTATGAAATATGATCCTGTCTGTAAATTTTAGAAATGTTCTGCAATTGGTTATGTCATGGGCTGTCACCTTCTGTGGCACTAAAAAAACTGGCATCAGAATTCTGCTGTGTCACTTGGGTAATGTAATGAAAGATAGGGGAAAGGACGTAAAACCTGCTGAGGTTAAGGCGCCATAATCTCCATAACTGTTGGGGTGGGGCTTGATCAATATGATAGCTAGCTAACTTAAAGCTAGAGAATGGAATGAAGCCCATCCCCATGCCTTGCTGGCTGATAATCAGATACAGTTGTTTCAGCATTTAAAAAATATATCATAATGCACTTGCCTTATTTTATTAAAGCTAAAAGTATAATGAATGAAAATTGATGAAACTGGAGTCAAAGATTTTTCTTGTGTTCTCAAAGGATTTGGATGCCACTCTTCATTTTTGAATATTTTTGAAATGTAGTTCACAAGGGAGTAGTTTGAAGCAAGTTTGAAAAATTGGGAATGTTCTCAATTACAGCACAGTTAAGTTGTGCGATAAAGTAAAAAATAAAATCTGTTTTGAATTGACCTAAATATTGGAGACTGCATTTAAGCAGGAGGTGTCCATATGTATATGAAAATATAGGAGGAATAGGTATTTGCAGGAAATTGTTAAAGTAGCTAGAAAACTTTCTGCAGGTGCTTGAAATGTCTACAATGGGCCTTGTTACCAAAGTTTAGTGATGGAAAAAGAAAGTTGCCAAATTTTGCTTGAAAAAAAGTATGGAAAAAATATTAATCAAATCACTCTAAGCATGTGTGTGTTCTAAATAAATAGATCTATTTCCATACAATTAGCCAAAAAATTGACATTGGATCAGTTACAAGGTGTAAAAATAGTAACCGTTTTTGTAAGAACAAAGAAAACTTTGATCAGAAAAATGTTAAACTTGGCAGAATGACTTAAATGTTTTGGCTGACAGCGAACTGACAGAAAATATTTCAAAAAATGATCCAAAGAAAGTTGCTTGCTCAGGACCACAACACTGTTTTGAATCCAGAACCTGTGAGATTGCTGGTTTTTAGAGACATTAATGTCCAAAAGGTTTAAGTTTTATCAAGATGGTTAAGTTATAATTCTGATGTTCTCACAGATTTCTAGTTAGTTAGATATTGCTGAATCAGATCTAAACAGTATGACTATACTTACACTGTATACAGGGTTAGGCCATAATAAATAAATTGCTAGCACGAATTTTTTTAAAAACACGGGCGGCTTTTAATTTATATATTTTTTATTTTTTCAATTTTGCAGATTTCTTATTGACCTGGTCAATCGGTGTAATTTCATCTACAATACCTGAATAAAAGTCATAGTAAAGGTTCAATTATCTCTTACTTCACATCATCACCAATCTTTTTCAAATTTGTTTAAAATATATACGCATGTATTACAGCAATTACTATCTTTTAGCTGTCAATTTAATCATGTCGACTTTCGGGATTTAAAACGAATGTAGAATGGCAGATTGATCCCGAATGGAAGAAAAACAGAAATTAAAAAAATCGAAAGGGGTATAAAATATCGGGCTGTATGCAGAATATTTTTATTATGGCCTTATTTTTGCACTTTCACACTTGCGAAAAATTTTGCCCCGTTTTAAATTTATTCTGTTTAATTAATTTGAATTTGTCACATTTTGAATTTGCCCACTCTGAGTAGGGCAGATTAAATGGGCAAAAATAAAAGGGGAATGGAAATATCCCTGTATGCAGAATTTTTGCCCAGTATACTCGTAATTTGGTTATAGGAAAACATTGCATAGTGCTACTATTATTACTAAACATGTTGAAATTTCAATTATTGTAACTGGTACTTATAATTAGTAATCTATATAGGATTTTCTAGGACCATGTTCAGTCTCCCCTTCCGCTTTCTTTTTAAATTTTGTATTCTCTACATTGGGATCTATTGATTAAGTTTTGGACAACAAGACACCATTATCTGCTGTGAAAAAGAAACCCCCTTTCTGCCTGATTTGAAGACACTTGAAGTGTGAAGTGATGTAGCCGGGAAACAAAATGGCTACAATCTGATTCTAGACTCTTCAGTACAATAGAGTGTATTGATTAACCCTGAGGAAAAAGCTTAGGGCTGCAGAATTTGTCTGTTAAAAAGTCTATGACACAAGAAGGCTTAATTTGGGCTGGTATTGAGCGATTGTGCTGAATTTATAGCTTTGGAGGTTTTGGGCCATTTGTATAAGAGGACAGTGTACTTGTTAAGATTTTAGGTCATTTAAGGTCAGATCAACAGCAGACATGTCTGCTTGGTCTCGAATTCTTTGTCCTATGTAATTCTTCTCACACACACAATATTTTCTTAATGAAAAGTTGTGTTTCTCATCTGTAAGTAACCTCATGCAACCCCCCTTCCCCTTTGTCCACCTGCCAGTTACAAAAAAATGGGAAAAAAGGAAGCTCAAGAAGAAATCATTCTGATGAAGCAAGAATAGTGTAGATATGAAAGATGTCTATTGCTTTTAAGAAATATTTACAGATTTTTTCAAGATAGAGATTTTATTTTCTAGGGAGTAACATGTTATCTCAAATATCCAGTTTCCCCATTTGACAGGATGCTGAACTGACTACCTAACTTTTGCCTGTAACTCTCCATGTGGAGTTAATTTTGAGTCACTTAATTACATGTTATCAAAAGCTCTCTGAGCCCACAGGTGCATGCGTACCAAAATATTTAAGCAGCAAGGGATGTCATAATTAAATGTGTACGCCACATTAAACTGTTGGGCATGCATCATTAAGATTTTTTACTTTGGGTATTAAGGTACTGTAATTTTTTAAAAGGGCAACCCAGTTTGCTGGGAGAGAGAGAGAGAGTCTTGATGAACTGCACATGTAGTCTTGATTAAAATGACAGGAATCAAGTAATTTTTTTGTCACAAATTAAAAGTTGGTGGAAGTAGGGATTATTTCTAAGTTTCACTAAGCAAGTTAAATGTTATTTCTAAAGCTCTAATATAAATACTCATTTCTAGAAGTCTTCAATAAAAAAGAACATTTTGCTGGTGATTTCATTTAAACAACTGGTGCCATAGAAAAATTTATGGCAAAGGGAGATAATTCCTTTCTCTGTTCTTCAGTGAAGTGCGATTTAGTTAGCATTAGTCAGGGATGAGGAAATGTAACACAAACTTGGTAGATATATAGCCGTTTGTGTTTGTTGTCAGGTCTGTTTATTTTGGTACTGTTCATTGTTTACCTGAGGTATTTATTTTAGAGAGAGAGAGAGAGAGAGCTTTAGTCTTCAATCATTCCTATCTAAAAGAAGAGAGAAAGAGAGAGTTGAGTCGAGCCATTTTCAGTGAAAGAGAGATAGAGATAGAGAATTTGAGTCTTTCATGACTCTCATCTGAAAGCACTCTGACAAAAAAACAATGGTATTTTAATTAATATTTGAAATATTAAACCCTCTTCATTGCAAAGAACTCAGGTGTTATGAGACTCTTTACCACCATAAGCTGCATAAACTACATCAGAACATGTTTAAATTTCTTGTTGGACTTGTCTTAAAGATGGGGAATATCAAGGGGAGGTAATGAAGCAACACAGCTGTTAATGTCTGTTCTGGGAGAAAATCAGCTGTTTACTGTCTGAGGAATGCTACAGGAATAATTGAATTTTAGTCACAGACTGACAGGTATTTAGACAGAATCATTCTGTTGCCCCTGAGGCATGTTGACTCATCCCTGGTATCCGGACTGCGGCAAATGGCAGAATTTATCAGAGACATGGAGAGAGAAAAAAAAGAATGTATTGGGAGCATCAAAGAGGAAGTTGTGTTTTATGATGCATGATGTTGTGCAGAGGGAAATATTCCTTCAAATGGATGAGAGGCTTTGTTGAAAAAAAGCATTTGATGCCCAAGTGGGCTGGAGCCAAATATATTGAAGAGATGCAAAGATATAAAATATGCGCTCACTGTTTATCTATTTATCATCTTTAACATTTTCATCAACATTGTCGTCATCAACTTTGCCGTTATTTTTAATCATCACTTTTTAAGAAGAGAGAGAGGAGAGAGAGAGATTTGTAAAAAGTTCAGGTAAAAACGTTCTCATTCTTCACATCAAGGTAGAGATATTCGTTAATTTAGGCCATACCAATTTTTAAAATAGTTCTTCGGATTTTCAAAAATAAAAAGTGAGGCGAGCGAGCGAAATTTTTTTATTAATATTATTTTTTATTTTGGGTTTCAAAATTATGAGGCGAGCGAATATAATTTATACATATATATATTTTTTAATAAAGTGTTATTTCAAAATGCGTGAACCTAAAAAATAAAGATAGATATCATTTGCATACCACATGAACTTATCATTCTTAACTTTTTGGGGATTTTTCTAATAAGTAAAAATGTGTCAAATTTCAAAGACTTTACTTTCATAAATGTAATGTTTTCAAACATCTCCTCTGCTTCCATTTCTATTGCTGTGTATGAAACAACTTTGTACCCATTGTTTTTAACTATAGTACACAGTGTTGTGCAATTAAAAAATCAAGCACTAGCCCACAGGCTAGTGGCAAATGCAAAGTTATTAGCCCAAATACAGGGGCAAAAATTAAAATAATTGAACTATAAAATAATGTTGAAAAAGAAATTAATTGCTGATAAAAGTCAGGGTACTGAGGTCAT